ATATATTTACACATGTCACATCAGCCAATTGACATTCGCCAATAAAATACACAGCCTGTGGTGATTCAGCTGCAGCGTGAGCCAATTAAGGTTAATCAGGGAGCCCCAATATTTTAATTGAGGAAAGAAAAGAAGTCAAAACGCTATCACTGCCCAGGACGTGTCACATCACAAAGGGAAGCAACTAACTAACCTTCTCACAGAACCATATCAAAGAAAACATGTAGCAACAAGACTATGACTCTTTGCCAGAGACTATAAACCTGTTAAAAGAAGATAAATCCGGAATCTAACGCCCCAACTCGGTATCAATAAATTACATGCAATAAAACTCTATATTGGTTACACCTACTTGGGCTGTCAGTCCAGATTCGAAGAAGTCATTTTAAAACGATGCCGTACTGGCCATAGCAGATATACACAAGAATATTTATTAAAAGGTGAGGTTCCTCCGTTTTGTATCCCTTGTGATGAGAGAATCACGGTTAAGCATGTCCTGCATGATTGCATTGATTTTTCCTCACAAAGGATAAATATTATAGTGTCAAAACAGAAAAGGACCTTTTTAGTATCGGCCATTCTCTCATTCTTGTTTTTTTTTAAAAGACAAATAGATCCCATTCATAAATTCTGATGTACAATGTGATGTCTTTTATAACCTGGTAGAATTTGATTATTAAGAGAGATGATTGTGGCTGTGCATTCGACCGGGGTTGAAGTAAAGTAAATTTATCAAATACGAGTGTACGTAAGTTTCACATTCAATTTCAATGAAAGTATTGCTATATTTACTATTGTTGAAATAATCGTTACTTTAATGTTCGGATAAATTTCTCAATTATCGCCAACCTCTAAGTGGATGGTGTAAATCCAGTTTGAGTCCATGCAGGTGGAAAACGTATTGTAAGTTCCATGGTCCCTAGTATGGTGATCTACCTTCAGTTGCTGGCGATACTCAGCCTGCTTTTATATTGTAGTGTCCTGACGAAAAACAAATTTTAGAGATAGATGCTAGTTTTAATTCTTGTGTCTGTGATAGTTGGTTTTATTGTGATTCGTCAACAGGTTTTCATAATCTTACGTGTATTTATTATGAATTTGTAACAAGTTTTAGTCTCGATATGGCAGAAATACTGCTGATGTGACTTTAAACTTAAACTCGCACACTTTCTACGGGACATTCGATATGTAGTCATAGTTTCCTGTTTATGTCATTGTTAACTATACAAAATATACATTTTGAGTCAATCTATACATTTGTGAACGCTGGAAGTGTATCTACCCAGATGCGCAGGATTCGTTTTAGTGTTCTGCAATCTAATTTTTGTAGTACCCAGTGGCCCGTCTTTTCTTGGCCAGGGTTCTGGGCACCCCCAAATTTTGGCCAGGTATTGGATGCTAAGGACCAATTCTACCAGAATCCTCACTTGGGAAGAGCTGTAAGCCTTACCGAGTTCACACGATACCCAACACTTTGCCGGAGTGCCTCCGAAAGTTGTGGAAGAAGATGTTGTATTGTGGCATATATGTTTCATCAAACTTCGAACGCTACAAACTTGAAATAATATGCAGTTTTATATTACATTGAATACAAACACCGGTTACAGGCTACAGTTACACTGAACGTAAAAGACCCTTTGTTGTTCTTTTTTATACGATATAATAAATGTTGTGGAAATGTTGGTATCAAAAGGCGCAAGCTATAACCAGTTACTGACTACGGAAGCCTGTCAGGGCCATGTGTTTATATGTATTTTTCTCTGAAGTTTCAGGACACTAAGTTGAAATGTCAAGTTGCTATCTTGAAATTGCAACATGGAATCTTGAAATTTCAAGATAGCAACTTGAAATTTTAACTTAAGCTCAGTTGAAATTTCAAAATAACTATTAAATTGAAATTTTAAGATAAAATCAAGTTGAAGTTTCAATTCAAAATTTCAAGAATGAAATAAACAAAGCGAATCCCCAAAACCGTCTTTAAATAAGTTATATACAGCAATAATCTAATAACCAGTTTTAGATAAAGTTTTGTACCGTAAATTGACGACAGTTAGTTTTAAGTCTAAACTGCTCGTAACGATATGTTTCAATTATAGTGATGTTAGTAACAAGCCATTGATCAGGTCTAACAGGTCTTAGTTGTATAACCTTCAGTCCTGGAAAACACGACGGTATATCGAGTACAACACTGTTGCTACGTTACGTGAACGTCCTTATTTTGAAACCAGTGATGTCGTGTTTTCCTTACTTCATAACGAAGTACCAGTGAGATAGGATAAATATGATATTTGTGTATCATTTTCCGTGCAGTCGATGTATGTATAAAGACGTACCAGTGTGGAAATAATAAACAGCTATAAAATATTCATAATTAAATAATGGTCATGTTCTGAAAGTGGCTGTATTGATAATTCCATCCCAAGGGATCAATATTTCCAACCAATCATCACCAATGAAGGATCTTTAAATAGTATTAGTTCACAAATTTAATCCTTGTTTTTTTTAAAAGGAAGTCGACTTAATTGGCCAATTTTGGTGTACCCAGTTTAATATTTTTTAAATATAATTATTAACCGAAATTCTTCATGGCGATGCCCTCTGCGGGGGTTGAAGTACCGTAAGATTATTGTGCCCCTTGAGAAGGTATGTAAGTCCATGTCTCTCAAGGTATGTTTGTATGTACCAGTATCGTAATCAAAGTATAGCTGTTCTTTCAATTGGCGGCTGAATTCGAGTACAATCGCCAGCGGTTGAAGGAATGGTGTAAATCCAGCTCGGGTCCATGCAGGTAGCCAAATTAGTGTAAGTCCCCATGGTCCCTTGTATGGCGATCTACCTTCAGTTGTTGGCGATCACTAGCCCATTTTCATATTGCAGTGTATTGTACAACATAATTTTCTACTTTTTAAGATATATGTTAGCTTGTTTTCACTCATTCCGTGATAGTCTAGTTGTTCTACGTCCTTTGCCGACAGATTTTATTATGAAAATTATCAGTACATGACTTGTTTCAGTCACGATATGGCTGTACTGCCGACGTGAGTAACAATCTTAAATCACTCACTCTTTTCTGAAAGACCTCGACGGGGTAAGCTATACTAGCCACATAAAGAAACTGTGCATTGTCAAAATATTATCCCAGTTGATAAATACGATAACAATGTCAAAGGTACATATAAACTTTAATGGAGGGATCATGAGACCATAACAAGTCGGGAGAATTTCAACTGAAAAGTCAATCACAATGACGTCACGAGTCCACAAGCGGGACAGGGGTCAAACGTCCATGTCACAAGCTCAATAACGGGTATGTCCACCATCGGCATTGAGAACAGCAGTGCATCGACGACGCATAGAGCCTATCAAACGGGCAAGGAAGGCTTGTGGGATGTCACACCAGATTCTCTCAAGTTCTGTTGCAAGGTCAAGGACGTTATCTGGCGGATGAGGAAGACGGCGTAGACGTCGATCCATCTCGTCCCAAACATGCTCTATCGGGGAGAGATCCGGTGAATTTGCAGGCCAAGGCAGTAAGTCAACGTTGTGGTGTTGCAAGAAATCCATAGCAACCCTTGCCGTATGAGGGCGGGCATTGTCCTGTTGGAATTTTAACCCAGGGCCATGACGTTGCAGAAAAGGAATTGCCACAGGTCGAAGAATCTGATCCCTGTAGCCCACACCAGTTAAGTTTCCCTGAACAATCACCAAAGGTGTTCTTTGGCGTGCTGTTATCCCACCCCAAATCATCACGGAACCACCACCAAAGCGATTCCTCTCCAAGACACAGGCCTGTGCATAACGTTCTCCCACGCGTCTATAGGCAGGTTGACGTCCATCACTATGGGAAATGTTAAACCTGGACTCATCTGTAAAAACAACATTCTCCACCAAAACAAGGGTCTGCGGACATGATTTCGGCACCACATTCGGCGAGCTTGTCGATGACGTTGTGTCAGGATAGGCCGTATGGCGGGACGTCGTGGTCTGATCCCGTGATGACGTAAACGTTGTCGAACTGTGTTGGGGTGGATACGGCGAAGTCCTGGGATGGTTCGGGCAATCATCACTGCAGTCTGAAACCTGTGGCGAAGATGGGTCACCCTTATCCAGCTGTCCTGTCTTGGTGATGTTACACGTGGACGTCCGATCGATGACGTCATTGTGTCCTGGTAGCGTCTCACCAGTGCAGAAATGGTGTTCCGGTGGCAGTGGAAATGTGCAGCCACATGTCGTTGAGACATTCCCCCCACGGACCATCCCAATGGCCTCATGACGTTGTGCAGACGTGAGCCTTGGCATGCTATGCGTTTCAATAGCCGTTTAATTATTTGAACGATCGCAAGGGCAGGGGTTGAGCTTTCCAAAGTGACAGTATTGTGTGGCATTCATTTGCTCTGTTTCTCTTTCCCGGAATGCACGTGCACCAACGTATTGCACGTCTCAAGGACGAACCCACTGACGTCACGGAACGTGGCACGTGCATGCATGTTGGATACATGTCACTAATCTCTGAGTTTAAATCCTTATGTGTCTACACAGGTTTGATAAATTTAGATTTTACATTTTTGTATGCACAGTTTCTTTATGGGCCTAGTATTGTTTTCACAGTCAAATGTTCGCATGAAACGCCGAAGGAGTGATTCCCCACATGGACACACTAAGCTCTTTCCAGGTATTTTCCGATATGATGTTTCTGAGTATAGCTACTCCCGACCACACTCCCAATACGTAAGACGTGTGTATCGTTTTTGTTTTTCATGCAATATTTTCTTGAATGAAACCCTTGTCTTAGCCCTCTGAGATACACCTGTTGCGGAAAACTCTGTTGTACATAGCATACATATTCACAAGAATTTAGTACTTGAATGTCTTAGATGTGATGTGTTTATTTAATTGTGAATCTTTGGGGAAATAACCCAAATTGCATAAGGACCGAGGGACCACAATTATACCAGTTTAGCTCAACACAAAGTAAACGCTCTTGTTTAATTTCGTTTCAGTGGGGTATGCACATCACTTATTGCTTGGCAGTATGGAACCCTACTTGTGTGTTCTGTTGGTCTTGCTTTTACCTCTCCACACACATCAACAAGCAGCTGTTGGTAAGCAAACTGAAGGTAGAGTTCCTGCAAAAACGGCTGATCATGGTTACGACATTCTTGGCTTTTAACATTGTGGGGGACGTTGTCAAATTTGTCACATAAATGACTAAAAAAAGATGTCCGGAACCATGTTTTCACTTTATCATATATTCCCGTGCTTTTTCGGTGATGAATTTACATGTTTTGACGTATGCAGCGATATTTTCTTGAACACCTGGTATCATCTCGATTTGATTGAGATTTATGAACAGATGTGAATGCTATAGTCGGTATAGTACAATGGTGGAGGAGAGATTCATCCTTTTGGCTTGTTCCCACCAAACATGAATATCCCAAGGTAATCATAAAAAAAATCAAATCCTATTTTCAGTATGGCCATCATGGCAGCCATATCGGAAACGAGTAATATAATATTATGGTTATAACTTTCGACACTTTTGACATAAATATTTCATTTAGTAAATTTATATGTAGAAAAAAGAAATGTAACATGAGCTCCGGTTTTTGTGATGTTTGAAATGATGACATTTACACATACACCCCATACTGTAAAAGTAAACATCTCACGATCATTGTGAAGTTTCTTTTTCATCACGTAAGGACGTATGGTAAGTAAATAGCAAGAAGCGATTCTGAACGAAAGTTTAGTGCTTTTTGAGACATTTACCTTCCCGGACTAATATCTAAATGTGTATATTTGTTCCTTAAACTTCTGCTGATGCATGCCGTGTGTATATCTCTCCAGGTGACATTCATATTGTGTTGTGTGAGTCTCGTTGGCGATTAGGTACCTGGCTCCGAGACTTTGGGTAGGAATAACACAAGTTCTAGAATCTGTACTATACCAAGTATAACTTATGTTACGTTTGATCTTTTTCTAAAATAGCATCGTGTATTCATCGCCTTTGTGGGAGCCTTGCTAATTTACAGTTGTCAGGGGCTACACAAAGTACTTGTTCTAGGCTACCAGTTGCCTGACTACCTTTAGCGGCGGTAGGGTAGCTTAGTGGATAAAGCGTTCGCTCGTCACGCCGAAGACCCGGGTTCGATTCCCCACATGGGTACAATATGTGAAGCCCATTTCTGGTGTCCCCCGCCGTGATATTGCTGAAATATTGCAACAAGAAGCGTCAAACCAAACTCACTCTGACTACCTTTATGTGGGATCCGCGGTGGTTGAATGGGTTAGATCGGTGACTTGTGTGATGATGTGTGGTCGTTTCGTTAGATCGATGACTTAGGTCCCTGATTCTGAGAGTGTGGGTTCGAATATCGTATGCGATTCAACCCGACAAAAGTATTGGAATCCACTTTATGGAGAAAGTGTAATCCCAGATATAACACATTCTACATTTTACCACTTTCTGGCATTGTGTAATCATGTCTTTCTTCACATTCCTGATTGTTGACTGCATACTCAAGTAAACTATTGTTATAGTATGGTATCTTGAGGTTATTTGAGGACAGATCCGGGTGAGAATTGATCTTCAGTAACCCATGCTTGTCGTAAGAGGCGACTAACGTGATCGGGTGGTCAGTATCGCTGACCTGGTTGACACATGCAATCGTATCGAAATTGCGTAGATCGATGCTCATGCTGATGATGAATGGATTGTCTGGTCCACACTCGATTATTTACAGACCGCCGCCATATAGCTGGAAAATTGCCGAGTGCGGTGTAAAAGTAAACTCACTATTTGAGGGAAACCCATTTGATGCAGTGAGAACATTCATCCATGATTTCATTTAAGACTACACCACGTCATAAATGCATCAATGATACAGCAGAGTAACCAAACGACAACAACCATTTGTTACACAGAAAACAGTGATACACTACTATGTCACAAACATGCGACACATACTCCCCCACTCACATATAACCGTGAGTGAGTGAGTGCGTGAGTTTAGTTTTACGCCGCACTCAGTAATATTCCACTATATGGCGGCGGTCTGTAAATAATCGAGTCTGGACCAGACAATCCAGTGATCAACAGCATGAGCATCGATCTGCGCAAATGGGAACCGATGACATGTGTCAACCAAGCCAGCGAGCCTGACCACCAGATCCCGTTAGTCGCCTCTTACGACAAGCATGGGTCACTGAAGATTCATTCTAACCCGGACCTTCACGGGTCATATAACAGTGATACAGTACTATGTCGCAAAGACAACAGTTATATTATAGAATTTCAGAAATATAAATTATACACTACTGCATCATAAAGGTAACAATTGTACACCGGTATGTTAATACAGATAAAATGTGCACTCACGTATATTTTTGTTTAGGCTGTCCACCAGATTTTCTGCCGTTGCTGCGCAGCTGTTACAAGATGTTGCCTGGTGCCTACAGAGGAGTTGATGCTGTTAGCCAGTGCGAAATTATCGGTGCAAACATCACGTCGTCCAAAACTGAGGCTGAAAATAACCTCTTGCTTGAACTTAGATCCAATGCATCGTAAGGTCTTTTCAACTTCTGATTTAATGAATGCTCAAATTTGATGATCAGTTTACTTATATAATCATATATAATTCTTCATATAATCGTATGTAATTCTTAATTTATCGTCAAATATAAATACCGCATACAAGTGTGTTTAGCAATCGTTAATGAAGTATTCCATCATTTTCATATTTGGGACTGTTTATGACTACTCTGAAGATGTGGAGCAAACTGATGATGCTTAGATGTAAAAGAGTTTTGCAAATTTTCCTGATGAATAATCTTACTGTTCTACTGACAATTGCAAATTTCTCTTAGCCTCCATGTTTATTTGAGAAGGAAGCGACCCCGCGAGAGATTGATGCGATTTATAATCGCAGTAAATTGCCTGCGGGACATACGCTGCGCCTATGTTCTTCGAGTTTCGTCAGTGAAAACAAAAAAAGGGGTCCTTCGGGTACTTACGTAGGATTAGAACATTTCTAAATAATGACTTTGCCTATACTGAGTGACATATGTCTCTGATTTGTTCGTTGAAGGAGAGGCGGACAAAGGTTGTGGCTCGGCATGACCGACTCAGCTTCGCCAAATGAATGGCGCTGGACGGATGACAACTCCTTGGTGGATGCCTATCCCACATCGCATCACTGGAGAACCACAAGTAAATATTAAACGTCAGCTACTGAGAATAATCTTTTTTGATCTGACATGGCATATTTCACTGAGCGTGAAAGGCAACCAGAACAACTTCCACACGCTCGATATATTAGTGCATACGCATAAATGTGGTTTAAAAATATCTTTATTCATGAACTAAATTGTGATTGATGAACAAGCTTTACAGCTTATGTTAACACCGCTCCCATGCATGTACATGAATATTTATCAAAGAGTAAACCCATATGTTTAAAGGTCCACCCAGTCTGTTTTATTATGACATGGTATGTAACCAAATAACAATATGTGTGAGTGTGTGAGTGAGTTAATATTTAACGTCACATCGGCAATATTTCAGCCATTTCGTGACAACAAAAAAGTTATGTACTAAGAATAAATATATCTATACTTATTTAAAAACCTGTCAGCGACAGTATAACGACTAGAGTATCACAAAGTAATTAAAACTAGTTTGAGGTCAGTGTCAAATGTTAAATTATTTCAAAACAACACAATATAAAAACGGGCTATAGATCACCATACTAGGGACATATGGGTAAGTTACAATTTAACGGCAATATTTCGGGTATATCGTGACGAGAAAAAACCTGTCATCGAGGGACATTATAATAGCTATAATATCACAGATACAATTTTAAACTAGTTTATAGTAGTGAGAAGAATACATTATCCACCAACATAAAAATGGGCTATAGATCTCCATTAGTAAAAGGGTAGATCACGACACTGGGGATCATGGGGATCCACAGTACATTAGCTACATTCATGGACCTTAGTGTGATTAACACCAGCCCCCTCAGTCCAAAATTTAAAATAACGAATATACTGCATTTAACAATCTGGCAGCAAGTGGGGAACGTACAAACCCTCTTAGGGATACATTTGTTTTACGTTACTTCAACCCCTCTCGAGGGTACAGCCACTATAGTCTGTTCGCAGTGAAAACGTACCAATTTAAACAACAACAAAATAAATCGAATAAAGTGAAATTAAGATTGCGAATCCTCATACTTTTACCTTGCCAACTGAATATTTAAATCTCAGAATTTTATTCAACTTAGGATAAAAGATGTTTAAGAAACGATCATTGTTTCAATCGCTACTAATGGTTTGTATTACAAGGGTGTATTCACATTAAATGAAACACCGAGAACAAGTAGAGTTGGTCTAAGTTAACGCTCATCACGTACCGCACGTGCATTTGTTTCACTGTTCCAACTACTGCGCTTACCCCCCTTGTAATACAAACCAATAATAGCGATTTGAATGTATGATCGTATGTTAAATAACTCAGATTTAGATGTTCAGTTGGCAACGTACAATTATGAGGATTCGCAATCTTAATTTCACTCTATTTGATTTACTTTTTTGTTTAAAGTGAAATTCATCAGTTCGTTTTCACTGCAAACAGACTATAGAAGTCATAGTTATTTATCCGCACTACCAATTTTTAAATATTACTTTATACATCGAAAATTATGAATCAATTCAATAGCTTTTAAATAAATAGGTATTTAATGAGAGCTGATATTGTTAAAAATATCCTTCATCATAGAAGCTGGGAAATAGTTATCCCTTATTATGGAAAAATCAATACACATTCTTTCATCACAAGGGATACAAAACAGAGGATCATCACCTTTCAAAAATGTATTATTCATGATTATGTGGCCAACACGACATCGTCGCATGGTGACCATTTAGGTTAAGACAATGGCTGGTTTAATTTCATGTCACCTATTTATACTTAAGTGTCCCACTTCCTTTTGTACTAGGTCCCGTGTGTGACATCTAATGACAGGTCTATAATATAGAAGCTCTAATACTGATGGCTAGTCCCTGTTAAATAGTGACCCCTTCGTGCTACTGTTGCCTAAACCTGTTTGAGTGTATGCTCATTACGTCCATAAACCAGATTTATCTACGTGATCTACCCTTACATGCTGGTGATCTACAGTCCTGGTCCCCGTTCCACAAAGCGATCGTAGCGCTAAGGTGATCACAACTCCCATACCTTAACATAGACTTACGACAGTCGTAGCGCTACGATCGCTTTGAGGAACGGGGCCCTGTTATACACTGTTTTGTTAAATATGATGATATGTTAGGGTTACATGGTAGTTTAAAAAAAATATCTGTGGTAGTCTAGTTATTCTAGTCATTTGATGATTGGATTTTATAACAAAACCGTGTATTTATTATGTGTAGGGCTGGCTAAAATGATCGATAATAGCGTCGATAGGTTTGCTTGTCAATTATGTTCAGGACGTTGTGTTTTTAATAATCCATGCACAAAGTCACCACTCACAGTGATGTGAAATATATACATTTCTTTCAGACATTTTGGGCAGTTTTGCTCAATGTTACGTCTCCGATATTTATTTAGTGAACGATTATCGATCTATATGATCTAGCTATGCATTCAAAAGCTTTCTAGACACGGTATAGCTGAAATATAGCTGCTGATCTGACTCTTCATTCGAAGTCATTTACTCACCCAAGATTAATCCACCAGTAACACAATCTGTTTCTTCAGAGGTGAGGTGAGGTGAAATTGGGTTTAACGTCGTGCTGAAGAATATTTCGCTCATATGACGACGTGCATGCATGTTTGTATGTGTATGTGCGGCTGCTTGTACTAGCCCAGACTTAAGCTGGTTTTATAGTGCTAGCCGACTGAGATACCACGTCGCAGTGAAGCATGAATACCCCACTCAGACACATTATACTGACTCCGAGCCGACCAGTCCTTGTTGTACCCATTAATGCCGAGCACCTGGCAGGGACCAACAAGTACCATATTTTAACGTCTTTTGGTATGACGCGGTCGGGGATCGAACCCGCGACCTTCCGCTCTCCGGGCGTACGCTCTAACCACTACACCACGGAGGCGATCGTTTCTTAAGAACATGTTTGGAACAGTTTCGTTTTCGTGTAGAATATATTATCTGTGAATGTCTTGATGTAGTCTTGAAATATTTCCGATGCAACTACAAATATCAACTCATTCATTCAAAATTAAACCCAAAATAATTGACATGTCTGAGATCATATTCAGGAAATGTTTATTTTCAACGAAAGTTCACAATCAACCTTGAAAATGATCATCTCTCAACCGTTCCTCGTGCCAGCTAAGGTCAAAGTTATATACTCTGTTAAATAAGATTTTTAACCCATCCTATTTCAGCTAAGTCGGAAGCTTTACCTGCCAACAATCTTCAGTGTGCATGGATACTATCAGATAGCAAGGGGCGCTTGTGGAGTCACACCAAGTGCAACAACCATGAAGCCATTACAGTTTGCAAGATATATCTTGATGGTGAGTTACATAAAGCTAGGTATTGAGGGGATTCGGGCATTTAGCTGCCCACGCAAGTGTAACTGAGGTTTCCCAAACGCCGCCCCGAATAGCTAAGAACAATAAGAATAACGGAAGTCTCTACCAAATTTTTATGTCGACGCGTCTTTGAATCGTAGAACATTTGGTAAATATTCTCATTATCACATGAAGGGGTGATGTAAATCCAAGGGTCCATACATGTAGCAAAGGTATTGTAAGTACCAATGGTGTCTGGTAGGGTGGTCGGAGCGGCGGGATAGCCTAGTGGTTAAAGTGTTCGCTCGTCACGCCGAAGACCTGGGTTCGATTCCCTTCAATGTGTGAAGCCCATGTCTGGTGTCCCCCGGCATGATATTGCAGGCATGTTGCTAAAAGCGGTGTATAACTAAACTTGCTCATTGGTATGGTGGTGTAACTATAGTTTCTGTCGTTCTATAACCCGTTTGTTATTGTATCCTTCTGTATCTTTTATGATAACATGCTATTTGTATGTTAAATATTATGTGGATATCCTACTTCTTTTAGTTTTTATTGTCAACATGTTTTACAGTCTGAATTCATCCTTTATTATTCTATGAATGTTTCTCGTCCCGCTATGGCTTATATATTCCTGAGGGGCGGTGCAGTAGCCTAGTGGTTAGAGCGTTGGCTCGTCACGCCGAAGACCCGGGTTCGAATCCCCACATGGGTACAATGGGTGAAGCCCATTTCTGGCGTCCCCCTCCGTGATGTTGCTGGAATATTGCTAAAGGCGGCGTAAAACCAAACTCATTGTCAGTCAGTTATATATTCCTGAGTACGAACCCACTCACTAATTATGACTCTGTTGCCTCCTTTGCGCTCAGAAAATCCTGAGTCAACGACAGACAAGACAACTTCAATGAACAATGAACTTTCATCAGCGCAAAACATGGTGGCGACGGCTTTGTCAACAGATTCAGCCCACACTGAGACTGCATCGTCTTCGGACCAATATGGCAGATTGTCAAGTGGAGTAAGAACACCATCACCGCTGTTGTCAACGATCACAGATACAACAACATTATCTGTAGAAGAGGAGGATATATCGAGTGATACAACAACGGCATACCTCTCACTGATGACACCATCTGCGACAGAAACGATGCAATCTAACCTTTCAGCAACAGCAGCAACTACATCCATGGCCCTTGCGACACCCTCTGCTCCAGGTGTGATTGCTGATACATCAACGCCTAGCCAGCCAGCACTTCTAGGGACAGAAAACTCTACGGTTTCTGTGCTTACACATCCAACTACGAGTACACAAATATTTATGCTGACGCCATTGCAAACACACATTGAAACGACTGATAGCTACGAATCGCATTTATCTATACAACCTTCATTCACTGAAATAGTTTCTACAGAAACTACCAAACAAATTTCCCCATACGTTTCAGCAAAGACATCACTGCATTCGAACACAGCTTCCGGTTTTACGTTAACATCTCAGTTCCTGTATCCATCTACGGTACATAACGTGATTTCACATACACCGTCTAATAATTGTCTCTGCCCTTGCAAAACGAAACTGCTTCCTGAAGTTTTGTCAAGTTTGCAGGAGAAGTATTCGGCATTGATTCTGAAAAGGTCTGCATTATCTTCCTACGTGAGAAAGAAAGTAAGTATTGCCGACTTTCGAGTTTCATCAAACTTTATCGGGGTGAGTGGCCTTCTTGTCTGCCTAGTGCCACTTTTCTTAGTCTTTGCTTCAGATCTACTGACCTGTGTTAAAGGAAAATGAAGAAGAGAACACCTTGCGTATGTGTATTACCGGTAACTGTGATAGTATTTGGACATTTTTTGATAACTGTGTTTTTCATATCGTTGTTGATGAAATATACCGAAAATGTGTGTTTGCCATAAAACCGTACAGAATAGCTTGAAGATAATAATTTATGTATTATAATGAAAATGAGTGAGTGAGTGAGTTAATATTTAACGTCACATCGGCAATATCTCAGCCATATCGTGACGAAAACAATTTATACAATATAAAGAGAAAACATTTTGAAGATTAAAACCTGACGACGATGGACAGTAAAAATACTGGAGAATCACAGATATGAATATAAAACTAGCGAGCAAAGCTAAAACATTTCAATTAAAGAAGACAATACAGTATAAAACACGGGCTATAGATTGCCAACGGCTGAAGGTAGATCACCATACTAGGGGCCATGGGTATTATAATGAAAAGCTTTTATCAAGTCATACTTTGTACTTGGTGCATATTTGTGCGCAAATTGAATTGTATCCACTCAACCGAGAACAACAGCCGTCTGACTTTCATATCAAGTTTTCATCACAAGGTACCAAATTGTTTCATACTGGGTGTGCCAGGAAAAAAGTTTTTAAGGTGATAACGTACATATATACATATATAAAAGGAGATTTGGCAAGAAGATATATCTGTAATCAAAGGCTTCTTTAAGAAGTACATATCGTGACTGTCTGTGATGTCATTTTCCGTTTATGAAAGAAAGATCAGTTTTACCTTATATCTAAATTATCATTGTTGACGAAACTTGGTGAGTGGAGGGTGCTAACGTTGAAATGAGTGAGTGACTGAGTGAGGGAGTAGATGTTAGAGCAGGACATGTTAATCGTTTATATATACAGTTGATGTTGCCAACAATTTCTTGACTCGTGAAGATCAAGGTTAGAATTTGTCAAGGCAACTAACCGGATCGGGTGGTCAGACTCGCTGACACATATCATCGGTTCCCAATGGCGCAGATCGATGCTCATGCTGTTGATCGCTGGATTGTCTGGTCCAGACTCGATTATTCACAGACCGCCGCCATATAGCTGGAATATTGATGAGTGCGGCGTTAAAACAAAACAACCAAACAAAACAAAACAAAACAAAACAAAACTAATTTCCAGAGTATCAGTTATACAAATGTGATCGCTGCTGTACCTTTCAACTCCCAGGGAATCGTTTCCAGTACATTAATGGCTGGTTATTCTCTACGCTGACGGCTGATTTCGTGTTCTTATGTCACGCATTTAGAAGTTCAAAGAACATAAATCCTTGGCACTTTGTGTGGATAACAACTTTCTTCTCCTGAGACCAACATCTAAATGTGAATGGTTATTATGCTTATGTACGTAGTATTCACTGTTTTGTGCATCACTTATCTTACAGAGTTTAGACTTTTAAACGGCAAAAGCATGTTTCCAGTCAGATTTGTGTTCCTGTAAGAAAGTTACTATGTAATAGTTTTGGAGAATTAGAAAGTTCATTTATTGCTTAGTGGTATGCATTAGACTTCATTACTTGCAAAGTATCTCCGTTTGTAAACTGGAATTTTATTAATTGGAGCTGCGCTCATAGTGAACACATGTGACCTAGCGAGAGCAACATACACAATATTCTGACCAAAGGTTTTCCCGGTGGAGAGGTCACTCTTCAGGTATGAGATTATAATTTTCACAAAATAATGTGTGTAATATGTTTTAATGAATTATTTTTCATGAATAAAAGCAACTGATTTTAAAATATCTTCACTTTTATGCTTTTCGAAGTTTCCATTATATCTCACAGGTAGATCATTGCGTTTGCATTTCAGTATATGGTAAGGTAGCATTTGTATTTGCAATGACTATTTAATATTTGAAAGAGGCCTGTGAATAACTACTTTAATATACATAAAATTATGTGTTTTGACAATATTTTCAAAAGATGACTAACTTTTGGAAGAATCCATTTACATATTAGGGTATATATATATATCATCAGTTGTTATATGAGGCATGTTACTGTGGTTTATTATTGTATTTGTGTGATAATACTTTCTGCTCAGGTAAGACAGAAGTGCCTTGACTAGTATTAAGTAATTGCATTTTCGAGAGTAATTTTCGCACATGGAAGAGTAAATTCGTAAATGAGTCACAAAATTTTGAGTCACATCGGCAATATTGCAGCCATATCGTGACTATATCAAGGTTTAGTTATAATTATAGGTCAACTATAAAAGACTGTCTATGAAGGACAGTAATTCAACGAGTTTATCACAAATATAATTTTAAAACTATTAATTAAATTTAAAACATTTTTACTATACAAAACGATACAATATAAAAAAAACCCAGGCTATATATCGCCAAAAACTAAAGGTAGATCACCATACTAGGGACCATGGGGACTTACAGTACATTATACACATCTGTCAACGAAGGAGAGTAAAACAACTAGATTATCACAGATACAAATTTAAAACAAGTACTTAAATCTTTTAACTATTTAACTACCGTATACCGGGAAATTTTCAACGTACTAAAATTTCGAGGTTTGAGGTCACTTACCGGACCAATACTCACTGATCTATCTGCCGTCTGACTGTTATAACTACCGGTATACCAGTCCATGGCAGCAATAACAGTAATGAAAACAAACATTTGATCCTTTGTTGTGATAAATGACCCATGAAACACTCTGTTGGCAGAGTTCAAACATGACGCCATTTATTTCTCAGATGATATTGTTTTCTTAACAACTAACTATAAGCATGTATGCATGGGTCTCTGCTGAAACTATGTTGTTGTTCGAAAGCTGAGAAGTTGACCTCTTTAGCGAAATTGAAACCATGCAGAAGATCAAATGGTTGGTATTTGTTTATGATGGTTTTACATATAAGTAACTTGACTCAAACGTGTCATCACGCGTATAAAAGTTTGTTTCATTCGATGTCGTTACATTTGACGAGAAAAAATGAGTCAAATAGCGTGGTTAAAGAAGTCACTTGATGAACCCGAAACGTTCCTTCTTAGCCCTACCAAGGCCCCATCAATGAAAATGACGGCAACTACGTTGGCTGCAGCCAACAAAGAGGTTCTTACTGCACTGTCCACACCCAAGAAAAGGAAACGTGAATCCACCTACAACTTTTATGACGACGAAACATCCACGAAGATTGCACGTTATGCTGTAGAACATGGTGTTGCCAGTTCCAGTAGAAAGTTCACCAAAGAGCTGCAAAAGCCTATTAGAGAATCTACCGCTCGCTCAATTAGAGACAGATACAAAAGACGTTTAGTCAAGGCTTGCAAGACAGGGGTCAGTGATCATGAGTTAAAGAAGATTGAAACAACGCTTCCCAAAGAAAACCGAGGTAGACCATTGCTATTTAAAGACTTTGATGAACAAATAGAGACCTACATCAGAGCTCTTCGTGATGCTGGTGCAGTAGTGAACACAACAATCGTCATTGCCGGAGCAACTGGGATTATCAACAGGACTCCAGGACTTCTTGATACCAACGGCAGATCAATCACCTTGACTAAAGCCTGGGCTTTGTCATTATTGAACAGAATGGGATTTTCCTGTCCAAAGGCAACCACAAGTGCACGCACCCTACCAGAAAACGCCTCCGACATTAAAGAAACATTGCTCGGGCGTATCGGTACCAACATCAAAGAGAAGAAAATCCCTGATGAGATTATCATTATAACTTTGACCAAACAGGACTAAAGTACGTACCGTGTGGGCAATGGACCATGACAGAGAAAGGGCCAAAGCGTGTAGAGATAGGGGGACTGGCGGCAAGCGAATGAACACAGGAGTAGTAGATACAATGATTGTCCGGGACCAAGTCCAACAAAAGCCTCTGCAAAGCCTTATTTCCCAAATAAGGCTTTGGTCGGACCCTTAGCTCTTGCTACCATTGTATCTACTACTTTCCCAACCTATAAAAATTTCAGACGCCAGCGGGATACGAACTCCACATGTATACCTTATAGGAGCCTTAAAATCTGTAGGGCACCATGAGTTTCAGCAACCCCAATGCAATGGAACCAAAAAGCCCAACATTTCGAGATTTTCCATTTAGACATTTGGTGCCCAAGCATGTATACAGCAACCTATTCGTATTTCCAGAAATATGGCAACCGAAGCAACTTTCGAAAATATGGGCTTGCGAGTTGAAAAAGCAGTGGCATACCACCTCCTACTGGAAAATACCGTGGGAAGCAATCTTCTCCCGGACATTGCCCGTGTAGACTATCTCGATGGCCATCTCGGCAAAACAAACCTCCAACCACTGGAAGGCCTACCTACATTTGTGGACGATATATACGTATTTGGCTATCTTCGGCGAAAAGACTGTGTCTATAAAAAAGGAGCCGTGTATTGCACCATCGGAGAAAAAGGAACAGCATCTATTGTAGTTTCCAATATAGCGAGTGCAGTACGGGAATCTTTCGGGCAAGAGGAAGGCTACGTGCAAACCAAAATCGTACATACGCTACAATATACCATAGATGCCCCCTCTGCAATACGGAGCACTGTACGAAGAATCGAGAAAGAAACCAATTCTGTGGCAAAGATACAATGGGAATCTCTACACGTAGACGACCCGATATTCGGAATATTCGTGGCAAAAGTAGATGTCTCGGAAATACCTATGGAACAAATACAAGCCAATATTTCCAAATTCGAACGATTTCTATTGGCACATGGCTTTGGCCTGTATTCTATCGACTATACCAAGGATTTCTCTGGCACCCTAGATAGAAAGTGTCTCGTGGAATACCTCCAAAGGATACACGACTTTCGAAACCAAAGAGATCTTGCAACTGCCATGGACTGCGAGGGACCCACCATCCTGGACAATACAAGAAGTGTAGGCAACCACGTCTGTACTTGGGTTGGAACCTGGAATGGCTATACCATGCGAACAAAAATCTACAACAAAGTAGTTTCCAATTTCGAAGCCGGAGAAGTGCGAGAACACATCGGTGGCCATTTGGCCGACTATGCGGATTGCTCCAACGAACACCTGCGGAAAACCTTTCTCCATCCAGATGTCCAGGCTAGAGGTTGTACTCGCATAGAGGTCTCTTTGTACGCGCATAGAACCAACACCACAATGGCCAACGATTTGGTGGACGAAGCACTAGAGTTGTTCTCGGGGGAAAACCTATTTGTAGTACAACC